GCCCTGCACGGAGAGCACCTCAGAGTGGGAGTGTCCATCCCCCAGGGCGGGATGGGGCTCAGGCAGCCCCTCCCGGGGCACAGGGTGCCAGTGGGAATGCTCCTGCCCTGCTCAGCGCCTTCGTGTGGCTCCCCTGGGGTGGCACCAACACCCTGCTGCACCTGGGTGCCAACAGTGCTGTCTGTCAGACCCTCAGGGACAGAGAGACATCAGAGAAGCTTGGGCACAGATCCTGCCCCTGGCCTCTGGAGTCACCACCACCCCTGGAGGTGTTCAAGGAACAACTGGATGTGGAACCCAGTGCTCTGGTCTGGTTGACAAGGTGGGGATTGATCACAGGGTGGACTTGGTCCTGGAAGTCATTCTCAACCTCAGTGATTCCATGATTCTGTGATCCATCAGTGTAAGGCTACACTGGTGTTACTGCAAGCTCAGCCACAGCATCAGCATCACCCAGCACTAGGATCAGAGCTCCACCTCAAATTTTGGAATGCCTGGTGCTCACACAGTCAACCCCTGCTGCTTTCATCAAGACCCCTGCTACTCCAGCATTTCCATCCTTCCCTGGCCACCCACCCTGGACTAAGGCACGGATGCACTGCACTCATTGCTTTTTCGCCCACTAAATCCCCTTCACATCCAGCAGCACCCCTTGCTCATATATGTGGCACAAATGAATGAAATTCCTACAGAATTCAGCCTCTCAGGAGCCTGTTTGCTCCCTCCTGGCCTCACAGAGGCTTTGTTGGGAGGCACCATCCGAGGAAGAAGGATGGAAGTGTTGCCCTTGGATTCTGTGAGCGTAGGGAGATTTTTCATCCTGAGGCTGACACTGAGCATGCTGGTGGCTGCCAGACACAAGGAAGCAGCATGAAGATGATGGAATGATGGCAGGGAACAGCTCAGGAGAACGCTTTCCATCAGGCTCTGGGGCACAGCACTCATCCAATCCCTGCTGGGGGAATTCCAGCGCTACATGGCCCCACAGCGAGCGCGCGGCTGCGGCACCAGCCAGCCCAGCCACGCTCACCACAGGCACTGGGGAAAGGTGACAAGGCACTGCCAAGTTATTAAACCTGCAGAAGGGACAACTGAGGACAAATCTTTCCAAGAAGCCAGGCCTCATTAGTTCTCCTCCTGGCTGAATCAGAGGATGCAGAACGCAGGAAAAAAAATGGGAATAACCTCTGGAGGGACAGGGCAGCTGGAGGTGAGAGGCAGCAGTGTGCCAGAGGGGGGCTGGGGTGGATAGGATGAGGGGACACAGCAAGATGTGGGCTTGGGGGATGCATTCCAGACATCAGGAATTAACTTGATTCTCCCAGCTCCGTTCTGCCCACGGAGCCTGGATCTCTGAGACAGGAAGGAAATTGAGCAGGGAGAGCTGTTGGCACTCAGGTGCAAGCACATGCCTGGAACAGCCACTAAACCTCAGAGCAAACCTCAGGAATAATGCTGCTCCCTACCCTTCCAGCAGCATTCCCACCACAGGGATCCACAGGAGGTTATATGCTGAATTAATAATGAAGAATTAATCTGCTCAGGAATGTTTCACCTGTTAATAATTTTCTGTTATTTTACCACTCAATTAATTCCTGTGGTGGTTGATTTCTCTGCCAAGGAAATCCTGAGTGCCCTGAGCAGATGGTTTTTGCCTATTGATTGCTTTAGAGAAATAAAACTGGGATAAGTTGGACAGACAGAACCATGCATGGGATGCTTGGGAATATCTACTTGAAAGTACCTAAAGTACAGCTGGGAAAGGCAGAATTCCCAAACCCAGCCCACAGCAAGCAGGATTTGTTGCTAACATGGTTTCACCTTGTTTTGCCTGCAGGAAATGCTGTGCTTGGCCAGCCTGCCCTGTACGTGTCCAGAATGATCAGTGCTAGGAGAAAACCAGGAATTGTTTCCCATGGAAGGCTGGAGCTGTGTCTTCAGCCATGGCTTATTTTTTCTTATTCATCCCTGAGGCAGGAGATGCTGCTGTGACTGATCCCTGCAGAACACACTGGATTTGGCTGGCAAAGCCTGGAGAAGGAGGTCACTGTGGTTTCCCACCTCAGGAACTCCACATTAATGGAGTTAATTCATGGATGTGCCCCAGCACATTCCAGTTGTGGAGGCTACCAGAGAAACCCTGGCACTTCAGTGACAAAGTGAAAGGAATCAGCACATGGATTTGGGATGGTGCAGATATCCAGACTGACCATGGACAAACAAGATGGCAAAATATTCCTGTGTTTGTTGAGAACAAGAGGTTTGATAAGCATCTGCCACTATCTGAGGGGAGTAAAACCAAATTAATACATCAGAGCCCTGATGTGGAAATGAATTCATTGGGAAAAGGATGGAATGAGGGCTCCAGCAAGGCAAACAAATGTTCCTGACAGACTGTCCTGGCATGGAGATGCCCATGGGGACAAGGACAAATTGCAGGAGGAGGATCTCCAAGATGGAAGCTGCTGCCTGTGAGCCTGGGCTGGAGCTGCTGAGGAGGAATTGGAGGGGGCTGGAATTTGCCAGCATGGACTGGAAGGTGTGTGTGGGGATGCCCTCTGCATCCTGGGACAGCTCCAGGTATGTCAGAAAGCAGGGAAGAGGAGCCTTCAGACCCTCTGTCAAATATTCTCCAGGCCTCAGGGGGTCACTGCTGATGGGAACAGGTAGATGCTGATTCCATGGAGGAAAAAAGCAGGAACAGGAAGGTGGACAGAGTCCCACAGCATTCCTGCTGGACAGAGGCTCCTGCCTGAGCAGGGCTGACTTCCCCTGCTGTAGTAACAGCTGAGCCTCCTGCCAGCCTGGATTCATCCCAGAAAACTTCAGACCCTTCCCCGTGGCCCCAAAAATAGGAGCCCACCCACTCCAGGCCCGCTGTCATCAATGGAGAAGGGGAAGGTGGGCGGAAGGGTTGGAGTCCTCTGCATGAATCATCCCTGGAAATAGCTCCTTGCTTCCCCTGAACCACAGAGGAGCTGGCAGGTGATTTGGGGCCTTTGTGGGAGCTCTGGAAATACCCACAGAAGGAGGTGGAAGGGATCTGCCACTGTGCTGCTTCCTGGACCTGCAGGGAACGTGGAAAGCCCAGGACAGGGCTCTCAGCATCCCATTTATTTCCATCACAGTTGTTCAGGCTGGAAAAGAACTTTAAGATCATGGAGTCTGATGTTCCCCCAGCACTGCCAAGGCCACCAAGTGAAAGCTGATGGAGAAAAAAGCACAACTCTTCAAGCAGGAGCAGGAGGAGATCCAGGAGGAGCTTTTTGCCTCCAGCTCCAGCCAAGGCTCCTGGCAGCAGCCACCGTGACAGAGCAGAAACAAAGCAGCTGCTACAATGTTTGTGGAGTGAAGAAAAACTGCTTTTGTCTCAAAACAAGGAGCCAAAAGTGACACCAGCTGAGTGTCAGCCCCATTCCAGATAACAGAGTTGGGATTTTTGCTGTGTTTTGCCCTTAATCTGACAGTCTGGGGAGAAGCCAGGCTGAGGCTGCTGAGGTGGATCCAGCTGGACGGGCACTGTGGAGCATTATGGAGCTATCATGAAATTTTTCTGGGGGAAAAGAGGAACTTTATGCACCACTCACAGAAAATAACAACTCTGAAATTAGAAGGACCAAATGGCCAATTTCTTCTTGCTACCAACAAGATGCTACTTCAAAAAGTGCCTTGCTTGGAAAATCCAGGCAAGGAGAGCCAGCCTGCAAATTCCCAGGGAATAAACAGCAGGAGACCAAGAGGGCAGGGCTCTGGAGAGGCTTTTGGAGCTCACCAGCCTGGACACTTCCAGGCAGGTGAGCATGTGTTTATCACCTGCCAAGATCTGCAGAACAGCAGCTTTTGGGCATCTGAGAGAGGTAAAATGAGAGGATGCTGCAGCCCCTGAATGTTGTTCTCACTATCTCTTGGCCATGTGCTGGGAGCTGCTGCCTGCCTTGGATTTTTCATTTCCTGTGTTCAAAATCCAGGGGAGGTGGCAGATATGTGTCTTGTTCATTACTTTCTGCAAGCAGGAGAGGATGTTTATGAAGTCAGGCCTATTTCTCTGCTTCTGTGGTTCAGTAGTTCCAGATCTGGAGCTGCCTAAACCAGATAAACACGAGCACATTCATGTTTTAAATTACTCAAAGATTCCTCAGTACTCTTTGCAGCATCCCCCTGGAAGCACAGGCAATTTGCACTATCCACAGATCTTTTGCACACACTAACTGTTCTTATTATCCATGTTGTAGGGGACTGGGAGGTTTTATAATCCCTGAGCTGTGTGATAATGCAGCATCTCACTGGGCCAATTCACATATTAATACATTAAATAAATAAATGTGGAAACCACAGAAGCAGAATTAAAGGAAATAGCTGGATTAGCCTGAGGATGAGCCCAAATGCATTCCACAGAGCCTGCAGGCAGCACAGATCTCCACCATGAAATGTCTCCCATCACCAGGATTCAGAAGCTGCACAAAGAAGGGGAAGATCCAGGATTTTTACCTGTGGGAGATGATGGTGGGGGGCAGCTGCTTGTGATCCCCAGCCAGGATGCACTTGGGAGCTTTCAGCAGAGGGATCCAGCAGCTGGCTTCCAGAGCCTGGGCACACTCATCAATCACCACCAGGTCAAAGTGGGTTTCAGGCAGCAGCTTCAGGGGGCCGTCTGAGGAAGCACCTGGTGGAAGGAGAAGGTTCCCAAGTGAGCAAGGAAGAGTGAGGAGCCTGCTCTGGAAACAAACCTCACAAGCTGTAATGGTGACTGAGGCAAGTGAAATAATGTTTCTTTGCAGAGATGTAGGAATTCAGCCCTGCCAAACACCTACCCATTGATATGTGTAAGTCAGGACTGTTTTTGCCAGCTCCTCTTTGTCCATTTTCCCCCTGGCATCTGGGCCCAGAAGCTTCCAAGTATCTTTGGGAACAGCAGTGAAGCCCAGATGCCAAAGACAACAACATGCTCCAGTCTGCTCTATCGGGAGCAGAACAAGGAACACCCACCTTCCTGCTGCCCCCCAGGGCCAACAAAACTGCTCATGCCCAGCCCTCACAGGGTGAGGGACTGGGAGTTCACCTGCCTGGTAACTGAGGGACACCCTGAGAAGGGGAGACGGGCTCACTCTGCTCCTCCTCGTGGCACTGGGAAGAGGGAAAGGAGACTGGAACCACACAGCCACATCAAGGGCTAATTTTTAACATCAGAAGTCCATTTGTAACATTTGTCTCCTCAGGGATGAATAAGAAAAAATAAGCCATGGCTGAAGACACAGCACCAGCCTTCCATGGGAAACAATTCCTGGTTTTCTCCTAGTACTGATCATTCTGGACACGTACAGGGCAGGCTGGCCAAGCACAGCATTTCCTGCAGGCAAAACAAGGTGAAACCATGTTAGCAACAAATCCTGCTTGCTGTGGGCTGGGTTTGGGAATTCTGCCTTTCCCAGCTGTACTTTAGGTACTTTCAAGTGGATATTCCCAAGCATCCCATGCATGGTTCTGTCTGTCCAACTTACCCCAGTTTTATTTCTCTAAAGCAATCAATAGGCAAAAAACATCTGCTCAGGGCACTCAGGATGTCCTTGGTAGAGAAATCAACCACCATAGGAATTAGACATCCTGCTCTAAGCCAGACCTACTGATACTGATCCTTACACTGATCAGAAATCTGAATTTCTGGGGCATCCAAATATCCCTGCAGCTCACACAGAAGGAGGATGCAAAAGGAGGAGGGCAGGGTGAGGAAGCCAGTCTCTCAGACCAGGGGATTTTTATTCACAGAAAGGTTTTTTCCAAAGCTCCTGTGCTACTGCAGCTCTGAGAGCAGGGATTTGGCTTTGCCACTGTAAATCCTGCTGCCTCTGCTGCTCTGCATCACTTCAGACATTCCAGTTTGCCACCAAAGACACTGCTCTCCTTCCAGAACTGGTTTCCAGCCTTATGAATCTGCTCTGGTGAGTTTTACAGTCATAACTCGATTTTTGCCACTTCCCCAGCTGGCTGGGAAGCTCCAGTTCCAGGGAGAGTCACAGCTGATCAACAAAACCACCAGTTTTACTGGGAGAAGGAAATCTCCCCCTTTCTCTCAGGCAAGTAAAAAGAAGTGAGAGGCCAACTCCCAGGGACTAAAACATGGAAAGATTTATCTGTCCACTAACCTTCACTCCAGTAACTTGCTGTTTTATGACCTAAAATTATTGATGTTTCCTTTCAACAAATCACCCTTGAGCAACCAGATCTGAAGGTTTTAAGTGAGTATGAAAAACCTGAGCCAGTAAAGCCCTTCCACACGTGCCAAACCTTCCCAGCTGCAGCTGCCTGCTGGACACCTGGACCTGCTCCCTAAAATCCTGTGTGACAGCATCTGGGTGAGTGCAGAGGCAGCCACAGAGCAGGCTCTGGAAACACGTGCTGGGTTTCATCAGTCCTGGCAAGGGCCCAAGCAGGGAAGCAGTGCCATGTGATTTATGCCATGGGGAGCAGATTGCACACCTCCAGCAGCACTTGTTTACTCACTGCACTCCCTGCTCCTACTCAAAGCTACCAGGGGCCCTTACAGATCCGTCTTCTGTGCTCAACAACATCCTGTGCCACAGTGGAAGCTGGGAGAATCCCACTGGGGAGGGGTTTGGGAGACTTTGCTGAGCTCCCAGGAGCTGGGAGCAAGGGTGCCAGCCCTGCCAGGACAGCTGCCTTGCAGAGCACCTGGGTTACCTGGCAAAGGAGGGAAAACACCAGCAGGAGGATGTCACACCTGTGTTGGTGGCAAGGACAATGCTGGCCTGGCTGAGGGCTGCAGCCATGGCAGCCTCTTCTCTCTCCTTCAGCTCCTTCCTCAGGGTCTTGATCTCACCCAGAAAATGGCTTCTCTCTCCTTTGTCTTGGGCCTTTTTGGTTTTTGCCTAGAAAACAGAAAATTTTGGATAGAGCCAACTGCTGCCACTCAGTTCTGGCTGTGTCTCTGACCAGCCAAAGCATCTGGGAGGGAGGAATGTTTGGGAAGAGAGGTCTTGGGGACTGGGATTTCCTAGCTTGCTCTGAGGAAGCAGACCCCTTCTGGAAGCAGAAGGACTCCCCAAGCCCCAGCAGCAGCTCTGCCACCTCAAACTGGCCTCTCTGAGCTGCTGGAAAGGATCCAGAGCAGCATCCAGACAGGCCCAGGGCTTTTTTAGCAGGTATTAAATGTATCTACCAGCACTGGGCACCAGCACTGCCAGAGCAGCAGCCATGGGAGCACAGCTCACTGAGCAATCCCAGATGGAAACTGGGATAATTTCTGGAGCTAAGGCTGGGAAGGATGTAAAGGCTGCAGGCAGAAGCTCTTATATGCAGCCAAAAGAGTTAGACAGGCTGGTTCCTCTAGTGGATGGATGGATGGATGGATGGATGGATGGATGGATGGATGGATGGATGGATGGATGGATGGATGGATTTTCCAGGGTCTAACACAGATCAGCTCAGCCCCCTGCTTTGGCTGAATTTGTGGGTATTTAAAACTGTGAAACCTTCATGTGTCTGACAGGTGTCATCAAAATGGGCTTGGGAATTGCAGGTGTGGGATCACAGGCCCTGAGGATGAGGTCAGTCTGGATGTCACCCATTCCTAGTTAGGGATTAGGAATATCAACTCTAATCACCCCCACCTGCCTCATATGAGCTCTCTTATCCCCTCATTGGTCTGGGAGTCTATTTAAGGCCAGCTCATGGAGTGAGTCTGCCTTCTTCCCTGGATTCCCTGCCTCATCCTCCTGGACTGCTCCCTGATCCTGCTCAGCATCCCTGGAGCTGCACTTTCCCTGGATCTGTGCTGCATTTTATTCTCAGGCACTGTGGGGCTGAAACCCTGCTGGGGCAAGGGGTATCCAGAAGCTGAGGTCCTGGGACTCTCTAAGCCAGGTGAGGGAAGGAGGCACAAAGGGGTAGGAAATGCCTCAATGCTTTCATTTCTCTTACTGCTTCTTCTGTGGGCTGGGGAGAAGGCAAGGAGAAAAAAGAGTCAAAACATGGAGCTGCAAAGGGAGAAATTGTTCCAGGGAAAAGTAGGGAATGTGGCAGTGGAGGAACAGAGGCAGGAGGAAGAAAAGATGGGTCAGGACCCTGGAGAAGAGCTCTCTGCAGCCAAGGGCAGCTTCTGTGACACACTCCTCCCAAGGAGATGAAAGTGAAAATTAATCACCAGTCAGAAAGATGGAAAATAAATTAAGAAGCAAAAAAAAAAAAAAGGGCTTTTGGACAGTGCTGCCACCAGAAAAGGGAAGGAAAATAACCTAATTAGCATCAAATCCTCACCCCAAGTACCAGAGCTGTGTTGTAAGGGAATGTTAGGAAAATTAGGGTGAGAAAGAAGAAATTAAGGATGCATTTTAAAATGTGCTCTGCTTTCTACTTGAGGTGGCTGAGAGTGGGAGGCAGTATCAGGACAGGCAGACAGCTTGTTAGGAAGTGAATTAATGATGGGAATGTTTCCCTGGCAAAGGGGAGGGCACGGATCAGGGCAGACAGGTGATGTGAGGGGCAGCAGCAGGGACTGGAATTTTCCCACTTCCATGAGGGATTCAGGCAGGAGTTCTGCCCTCCAGCACATGAAGATCAGAGAATCCCAAAATGGCTTAGAAAAGTCCCAAAAAAAATATCCCAAGATGGGTTAGAAGAGACCTTATGGATCATCTCATAAAGGCAGGGACACCTTCCACCCAGGGATGGGGCAGCCAGAGATTCCTGAGACATCCATTCCACGGCCTCCCCACCCTCCCAGGGAAGAACTTCCCCCTGGAATGTGCCCTTCTCACGGGATCACACAGCCAGCCCACGCACCCAGGCGTGGTCGATGTCGCTCCGGATGTCGGCCACGATGCGGGCGCCGTCCCCTCGGGCCAGCACGGCGTCCAGGCAGTGCTGCTGGATGGGCTGCAGCAGGCGGGCGGGGTGCCCGAGGCGCAGCAGCCGCGGCCCGCGGCCCGCCAGCCGCTCCACCAGGTTATCCACGGCCACGTTGGACGGGGCACAGCACAGCACCTGCGGGGACAAGCACGGCCTGGCACCTCCGGGGGCACCCGCGGGGTGTGAGCAGAGAGGGGGAGACCAGCGAGCTGCTGCTGGGAATACAGCACAGGGAATTCCCTCCTTGCTTTGCAGCACCTCTGTAGGGGCCCCAGTGAACCCCAAACCTGAGCTCTGTGAGCACCTCCTTGGAGCTGGTGGGGAAATCCCTGGCCCCTGCAAGCCAAGCCAGGCTCTGGATTAGCACAGATCCAACAGGAGCTGCTCCAGCTGCCAAAGCCCAGGAGTGTGCAAAATAACCACAGAAACCTGGAATGGTTTGGGTGGGACCTTAAAGCCCATCCAGTACCCCCTGCCATGGGCAGGGACACTTTCCACTAGCCCAGGGTGCTCCAAGCCCCATCCAGCCCAGCCTTGGACACCTCCAGGGATAGGACAGCCACAGCTTCTCTGGGCAAACCTGTGCCAGGGCCTCAGCACCATCACTGGGAAGGATTTCTTCCCAATATCCAACCTAAATTTCCCCTCTTCCCATTTGAAGCCATTTCCCCTTGGGGTACCACCCTGTCACAGACATCTTTTAAGAAAAATCCTTTCCTTAGGACTTTTCCTCCTGAGAAGCTGAGAGGCTTCAGGAACAAAATGTAAACAATGGTTATCTGCTGCTGTGGAATGCAACAGGTGGATCTGTGATTGGCCCATGTTGGTTGTTTCTAATTAATGGACAATCACAGCCCAGCTGGCTTGGACAGAGAATCCAAGACAGAGCCTTTGTCATCATTCTTTCTTTTTCTATTCTTAGCTAGCCTTCTGATTAAATCCTTTCTTCTATTCTTTTAGTATAGTTTTGATATAATATATATCATAAAATACTAAATCAAGCCTTCTGAAACATGGAGTCAGATCCTCGTCTCCTCCCTCATCCTCAGACCCCTGTGAACACGGCCACACCACCCCAGTTCCTGATGAAGAATCCCTTGACTGGAAGGCTGCTCTGAGGCCTTCACACAAGCAGAGATGGTCACTGGTGGCCACCTGAGGTGGTCCCTGGCAGCGGGGCTCACCTTCAGGCCCTGCTGCACAGCCTGCAGGATGATCTCCACCAGGGTCGTGGTTTTCCCTGTGCCCGGAGGCCCGTGGATGATGGCCAGCTCCCTCTGAGCCAGGGAGAAGAACACAGCTTCCTTCTGAGACTCATCCAGGGAGCCATTGAAGAACTCCAGAGGCTCTGGGGAGACAGCAGGAGAGTCACTGGGACCCCAGCCCCAGCTGGGAAGAGGCTGAGAAGTACAAATGCAGAATTACATGGTGTTCTCTGCAGCAGGTCCAAACCCACTTGATAACGAGGAGAACCTTGGGAGGAAAGCACTGAGGAGGCTGGAAGACCCCAGAAGGTAAAAATAAGCTTTTTATGCTTCCAAAACAAACAGGCACCTTCCCCATCCCCTCCCCAGCCCTGACACTTGGCCTTCAGCCAGTCAGTGCTGGATTTCCCACAATTTAAAAGGCATTTAGCTTCTCCAGCATCAAACAGGTAGGTTTTCCTGGCTCTGGAGGGAGCTCTGGGATTGTTTTGCAGGAGAACCAGCACCTTTAGTGAAATCTTCAATGAAAATTGGGGAGGAAGTAGCAGATTTTGCAAACAAATCCCTGCCAGTGAACAACCCCAATGCAGCACCAGGGAAAAAGCAGAACAACCTACAGAGTCTGTGAGCAGAACAGAGCAGCCCTGGGGTGGCCAGCCAAGACTGGGAATGAAGACAGGAAAAGGTACAAATAGCAATTTAAATGATAAAAATAAAACTCATTTTTGCTTTAATAAGGGAGGAAAAAAGAGAAAAGAATATGCAAATCGCATTAGAAGAGAATTGCTTTCACTGCAGAGACTGAATGCTCAAAAGCTGCTTTTTAACCTCCCAGATTGATCTCATTTAGGCCCAAATTTATTCTCATCCCCCTCTCCTAATCCTAATGCTAATCTCCCTGTTCATTATGGGAGTTAATTACAGCAGGGATGATGACTCATTACACTGAGGTTTCCCGAAAATAACGTTCCCACAAAAGCTTATATAAGACACATCTCTGGGTATCCTTCCCTGCTGGGCATCATGTGCTTCATCCCTCCCTTTGCATTAAGGGCTGGCTTAAAAACGTGCCACTTGCTTTGGTTTTGGGCAGGTAAACCTGTGTGTGGCCACCACCAAATGAGGTTAAGCAAAAGATACTCATTGAGGTGATGATGAGGAGAGAAATGGGGCTGAAGGTACTTTTTGCTGTCCCCCAGCCTCTTGGTTCATATGTAAATTTTGGGTGAGTGTGTTAATGACTAAGACAAGACCAGGAAGCATCCCATGGGCTGGGGGAAAAGCAGGAATAGCTTCAAACCTGAGAGGCTTTTCCCAGAGCCAGGAACAGCTGGGATGTGGGAGTCATTGAGGCTGCCTTGCTCAAGGATGAGCCAAGGAGCTTCTCCAGGCCTGTGCCCACCCTCATCCCTCCCAACCACGGGCTGCCAGGAGCTGCTGTGTGGGAAGGCTGCCAGTGCTGCTCTCCTGGGCTGGCCACACTGCCAAGGGAGAGCCTCTTATGGGGTGCTGTGGCTCCTCCAAACTCTTCTCCTTGCATCCTCACCTGAAGAAATCCCTGGAATGTGTCTGGCTGGTGGCCAGGTAATTGTGCCCTGATGCACAGCTCCATTAATTAGTGCTGAAAACCAAATTTCCTTGGCCATCCAGGCTGGTGCCCCAACATTCCCAGGGACTGAGATGCTTTTACAGCAGCTCTGATGAAGCAGTGGGGTGGGAGGTGATATCCAGGCTCAGGAAAGGGGTCTTTGCACCAAAAATGGATGGATACAGCCCTTCCTGGGAGGAAGAGCCCAGGTTTTCCAGAGCTGGAAGCCCTTTCCAAGGTATATTTCTGACCAAGAGCAATTCAGACCCCCAACCCCAACAGCTCCTCCTCACTGCAGTCAACACTGCTGGACAAAATCCAGCTGGGTACTTCAGCCTGGATCAGAACTTCCCCTGCTCTCCAGAGGAAATATCTGGCAGCTGGGTTGTCTGGACTGTTTGTCTTCCCCAAATATCTCAGAGGCCTCTCCATGGCCCCTGTGATGACAAGAGGTGTCACAGGGCAGAGGCATGAGGAGCATTTCATGTTATTTTTGCAAGGAACTTGTGCCAAAAAGCCAAGAAATTCTTGCTGGAAATCCCTGGTGCTTCCCCAGTGCTCTGCTGCCAGGTTGGCTTTTTCTGGGGGCATTCCTGCCTTTTCACTGGGATTGCTTCTTTCCCTTTACAAATGTTTTGACAGCCATGGGCAGAGCTGGACACAAGCCAGGCCTTCTGGAGCCAGGAACAAAAATGAGCATTCCTGACTTTCTCCAGCACAGGAGAGAGGTGGCAGCTATCACCAACCTGCACAGGTACAGCAGAACCTGCTTTCCTAAGGGAAAAGGGACGTGTCCATCTTGGGTGGCCAGGAGGAGCACAGCAAGCAGAGCAATGCTGGCCTCTGCTGGCAAGAAAAGCCTCTCCACTCCCCCCCATTCCCAAAATGTAGGGGTGCAGGGATCCCACAGGGATGCTGGGAGCAGGGGAGGATTGTTTGGAGATTTCAGGTGTGGAAGCTCCAGCAGGGCCATGGGTGCAGATCAAAGTGGAAGGGAGACAAGGAGGGCATTTTTGATGGGTGAGCACCTGGATTCTGCTTCCCAGGGAGTCTGATAAGGGCAAAATTCCTGCTCAGTTCAGAGTCTGCCCTTGCTGGAAAAACTGTTCTCCCCCTTGGAGCCCTCCTGGAGGCAGCAAGGTGAGGTGTGGAAGTGCTTTGTGCCAGAACCAATCTTTGCTGCAGGTCCCAGCTACCCACTGGAAATCCCTTCCTTTCCTCTTGGCTATTCCTCAGGTTATTCTTCCCACAGCTTGTTCCATGTTTTTGTCTTATGCCAAGAGCATTTATTGTTGCATATTTAAGTGTTTTGAAAGGACTTGGGCATTGATGTGCTGTGTTGGGCTGCTGCTGTCTGATAATTAATTACTGAAATGCACAGAGGTGTCAGAACCCACCTACAAGATTCCCTGATTGAAAAATTAGGATTCTCATCTGTGTCTCCCACAAAAAAAAAAAAAAAAAAAAAAAAAAATCAGATTCAGGCTTCTGCTGCTGCACATTGCACCTGCTGGAGTGGGTTTTGCCCTGTCTCCCAGCTGTGGCTCCCAGGTTTCTGAGGGAAGTGAGCTCATCTGGCATCCCTGAGCGGTGCTGACACAGATGTGTGTCTAGACAGCCAATTTCAGGAGCTGTCCAGGGCTTATTGACTCAGCCTGCTGCTGATGGGCTTGTTTGAAATCAGGTAATGGATGGGATGAGCCACATCCCCAAAGAAACCAGGCTAATGGGTGCTTGGTCATGGAAGGAGAGGCTGTGACATGGGAAAGCTGCCTGAGTGCTGTCAAGTTTGCCTGGCAGAGCCCTTCAGCTCAGGGCAGGCTTATTCCAAGTTATTATCCCTTAATTCCTGGCTAGTACAACATCTCTCTAGGTGGGGAGAAAGCAGCTCTGGAGGGAGGAGGTAACTGCAAGGCCTTGGAGTTCATATTGCAGCTCCTCTGTCTGTCTAATGTGCCTCCACCTACCCAGCAATATTCCCAGGGCTGAGCAGATGGAAAATTCATCTCTGCCCAGCCTGGCACAGCTGAGTGATGTGGTGAAATGGAGCTTTCCTTCATTACAGGCAGTTCTGCCTCCTCAGGGGTAAAAGCACTGTTGAGGATAGTTGATTGATTAAAATTTAATCCTTTTATTTAATATTAAAACCTTGAGTGCACCAAGGTCCCCGGGCAGCCATAGGGCTGAAAGGTTTGACTCAGACTGGCATCAGTGCTTGGAGAAATGGGGATGGGACTCAGTAACATCCATTTCTTGTCCCTGGCACATCCTATCAGAAGTCAAGCCTGGCTGGAGGGGATGGGAGAAAGGCAAACCATGGTGGGCAGCCAAATCCAGGACTCCAAGGAGGACAAACAGTGCAGGGAGCTGTGGAGGGGAGGAAAAGGGGCAGAACCCTGGCAGGGATGGATGGCACTGGGGGGAGAGCAGCCCTGAGCTCTGTACATGGCCCACCCTCAGCCCTCACTCCCTGATTTTTGCTCCCTTCCCTTCTGCCAAGGGATAATATCCATCAGCAGGTGTTGATATCTGACTCAGCTGCTGATCAGAGGCTCTGCTCTCCCCAAAAGGTGAAGCTCTGTAATTTAATCTCTGTTTCTTCCAAAGAAGCACAACAGAGTGAACACTGCTTATATCCAAGTTTTTATCCAGGTTCCTTCCATGAGGAAAGTGTGCCCAGTACAGACCAGTATGAACACAATGCCACCAGCTGCAGCACCAGTGATGACTTGCATTGAACACTGGGGTCTTTTCTGGAGCATGTGTGGATAAAAACAGGGATCAGAGCTATTTGTGCTCTCGTGGGCAATTCCCAAGGATGCCCCTCAAGCCTGATAAAAAAAGGATCCTTACTTGTTTCAGGGAATGCCCTGGGAGCAGAGGCAAAGAAGAGGACGTCGATCAGGTCAGAGGCTGGGCCACCCCGGTACTGCTTGAGTGCAGTCAGAGCTCTGCCAGAGAAGGGGAGATCAGGTTACAGGCACAGCACGAATTCTTTGGAGACTCCCAAGTGCCCAGGGACAGGCTGTGAGTAAGGACTGAACTATTCCACAGCTGAACAATGCTAATCCCACACAATTCCTGCATCTCCCAAGCCTTGCACACACATCCCTGTGCTGGTCAGGCTTCCACTACCCATTGTCCCTGTTTGGTACAGCCAAATGTGGGTTTTTTGGGTTGTTCATCCAGTAAGGAGCTGTTCACTCCCCCTTCCAGAATAGAAAAGGCCCCACACAGAACCCAGAGTGTTCCAGAGGTGATGCAACAGGACCAAAACACAGCCTGGAGAGAGGGAAAGGGATGAGCAGCACCAGCCAGCAGGTGGGTAAACTGAGGTTCTTGGGAGGCTCTAGAATGACAAATCCAAGCTGGGAAGGGACTGGGAAGGCTTTTCCAAACTAAACTTGGCACTCCCCATCCCACTGGGCAGAGTGAGCCGGGGTGAGCCCTCACCTTTTGAGCCTGTTGTAGGTGACATCGTTGGCCAGCTTGAGCAGGCGGAAGGAGCGCTCGTGGTCCAGGGCCAGCTCCCCATCCCGGGCCTCCTCCAGGGCCACCGTCACTGCCTTGGGGGTGACACGTGTCACCACGCCCGTGCACAGTGGGTCCCCCTGCCCAGCCGACTCATAGAGCCCCACGATGTCCCCTGCAGAGGTTGGAAAGGAAACAGTGAGGTGGGGAAATGTCACTGCCCAGGGAAGCTGCAGCTGCCCCATCCCTGGAGCGTCCAAGGCCAGGCTGGATGGGGCTTGGAGCAGCCTGGAATAGGGGAAGGTGTCCCTGCCCATGGCAGAGAGTGGGACTGGATGGGCTTTAAGGTCCTGTCCAACCCAAACCATTCCAGGCTGTATGATCTCTTTGGAAAGACAGGAGTGTCACTGACCAGGCCCAAAGCTGTTGGAGGGCAGCTCGGTGTCCGAGTCCCGCTTCCTGGGCTGGAATGTCACGAGGAGACGCCCGTAGAGGCCGGTTCTCTGGCTGCTGAGCTGCAGCTTGAGCAAGCAGACTCCTCTCCGCTGCAATTCCTTCAGGGAGACACTCTCCTGCCATGCCCTGGGAATCACCAGGGTGGGAACACCACAGAGTGAGGATTACAGCTCCAGGGGACAGAGCAGAATGACCTTGTTGTGGCACCTCCATCCTCCTGGCTGGGTAAGTGTCTGTGTCCCCAGCAAGGTGACTAAGAGGGTGACTTGGTCCTGTGGGGGTGACCCAGCAGGATTCCCCATGATCAGAGCCCTGTGGGATGGGGTTCCTATAGGCGTGGGCGGGTTAGAGCGGTGGGACTCCAGCAGCGTTCCCTCCGGGGACAGGAGGGTTTCCTAGGGGGCACTAAAGGAGGATCTCTCGGGGTTTCCATAGGTGACAGTGAGTCCCAGCTGAGGGTCCCTCAGTGCTCCCCAGGGGTGACAGCGGGTCCCGGCTGAGGGTCTCTCAGTGTTCCCCATAGGTGACAGGGCTCCCGTGCCCCCCCAGCCGCACGTGTCCCCGGCTGTGGCCGCCCCGTAGCCCCCCGGCGGTCTGTGCCGTGTCCCCGGCGGCCGGTGCCGGTGCCGCGTTTGCCGCACCTGCTCTGGGCCAGCTCAGCCTCCCGCTCGTCCTGCAGCAGCCCCAGGTGCCGCTCCGCCGCCTCGGCCGCCATGGCCCCCTCGGCCCCGCGCAGGCCCCGCCCCCTGCGCGCCCCGGGCCCCGCCCCCGCGGTTCCGCGTCCGGCGCGAGGTCACCGCGATGGCGGCGGCGCGAGCGCGGCGGGCGGGAGGTGAGCGGGGACCGGGAACGGGACCAGGGACAGGGAGGAACAACCTCTGCCCCTGGCGCTGGGAGGGAAGGCAAGGAGGAAGGAAGGAAGGAGCTCTGCCTGCTGCTGGGAAGGAGGGAAGGAATGGAGGAAGATGCTCTGTCAGCATCCGCATCTTTCTGGGAGGAAAGGAAGGATGGACGGGCTGTGCTCTGCCTGCTCCTGGCATGGGAGGAGGGAAGGAAGGAGGCTGGCAGGAGTCAGGGTCCCCACTGCTGCCTCCTCTGTGTCCCTGCTCTGCACCTGCAGGATGGACCCTGGAGCTCTTCCCAGAGATGGAAGGGATCTGGGTCTTTCCCAGCATCAGCCTTGGAGCCCAAAAGTCAGGGAGTGTTAATAAAAAGGAGAATGAGCTTTACACAATTCTTTGCACCTTGGCATAAACCCTTCAGCAAAATCCAGTGGATGGGAGGGAGGAGGGACTTTATCAATCTCCTTCCCAGGCAATGGAAGGGGCTGCCCAGGGAGGTGCTGTAGTTCCCATCCCTGGAGGTGTCCCAGGAATGCCTGGACGTGGCACTCAATGCTCTGGGCTGGGTGACAGCGTGGTGACCAGTCACAGGGTGAACTCGATGGTGTGGGAGGACTTTTCCAGCCTGAATGATTCTGGAATTCTGCAAAAGCCCAGCAGCTGCTGCCTGTGTTTAATTCTCTTTTTTCTCCTCCCTTTCAGCCTCGCTGCTCTCGGCTGCGGTCCGGCACAGGAGCTCCCAGAGCTCATCCCCACAGGCAGGGTAATGTCACACATCCATCACTTTCCTCTTCCCCCTGGAATGCTGCCCTGCTTCCAGGCTGGGAGGGCAGCTGGTTTTCCTCTGGGAAGGAGACTTAGCTGCCCCTTGGTCACTCCCCAATGTTTTGGGCTCTGCCTACCTTCAGTCACCTTTCCCAGAAGGATGCTTCTCTTCATTTCTTGATGTGTTTTTTTTTTTTGTCTCATCCCTGGAAATGTTCAAGGCCTGGTTGAACAGGGCTTGGAGCAACCTGGTCTGGTGGATATTGTCCCTGCCTTGGGTTGTGACTGGATGAGCATTAGCATCCCTTCCAAGGCAAACCCTTCAGGAATCCTGTGACACTTCTTCCACTGACACCTTCTGGCTTTGCTTTCTCCATCCCTTTGGGATCTCCTGCTGTGCCTTTTTTCCATTCCCTGTGCTGGGATCTCCTGCAGGAGCTGCTGCTGGCTGTGACCAGGAGGGGACACTGCAGGAGCAGAGGAGGATGGCAGGATGTACTGTTCCCTCTTCCTGCTCATCCTCAGGGATCAGAGATCTTGGATCCCTGCCTGGGTGATGCAGCACCCAAAATCTCACTAAACCCTGTGAGGCCTCAGTGCCTGTGGCTGTGTGCTCACAGGTGCTTGCAGTTCCTGTTGAATTAAAGCCTTTTGGGATGTTTGCCTCAGGGTTACAGAGTAAATCAATCATTGCAAAGGATTTTGAGTCCATTTTGCTTTTTTCCACTACATCTCATGTTTATTTCTGAATATTTTATGCATTTGGTGCATCCAAAGTGTGGATTTCTGCATGCAGGAAAACCTACCCACTGCTGAGGGGGATGGTATTTGCTTTTTATTTTGGGATGGTGTTTACAAAATCTACTAAATTTTCAGATTGCAGAAACCATGACCTTTCACGTTCATCGCATGGGGTTTTCCAAGGCAAATCTCCCTCCTCTTTATATCCAAGATTCCTTTTGTGCTATTGTAGGTTCTTGCCTAATTGTTAATTGTAGTCTGATGCCTTGTGAGTTGGGATGTTTGTGAGTAATATCCAGTTCCACTCCATCTCCTTTTTCCTTCTCTCCTCTCCCTGTTTTCCATCTCTTGGCAGTTTCTGCTTGCTGCAGTGAATTTTGCCTTGTCCTTCACAGACTTGTTGCCAAAACTTCCCTGACTTCGCCCCCATGGCCTGAAGTGAAACTTCCAGATCCAGTGGAAGAAGCCAAGTATCATGCAGGTAAAGGTCTCAAATCTGGTCTTCCAGCACTGCCTGAAGGCCTGATGGAGCATAAATATTTTCAGTTGGAAGTTTGAGCTCTTTACTTCTTTTTTTTTTAAATTTCATTTCTCACGTGTTTTAGTGTTGCTGGAATTGTGCTCCAGCTGCTCTCCAGGTTTGGGAGATTTGGGTACAATGTGATTTCTCCTTAGTTTAGGGCAGCTTGTCCCAGAGGAACCTTACCTGATGTGATATGTGGCATGAAGCACTATATTAAAGAAATTAAAGCATGAGAGAAGCATTTTGGGCAGGAGAAGCGAGTTGTTTTCCATTCAGTGGTTAAATCAAAGCCAGCAGGAACAGTTGGATGGTGGGCACACGGAGAGCTGGTGTATTTTGGTGCACGAAACAGAACATCCAGCCAGCAGGAGCAGTTGGATGGTGGGCACAGGACAGACCTGCAGAGGTGGGACACAGCGTGACAGAGCCCTGGGGGTCGTGTCCCTGTCCCCTCAGCTTGTCAGGACTGCTGGGTGAGAGGAAACTGTCTCAGGCTGTGTCAGGGAAGAGGCAAGTTGGACATCAGGAGGGATTTCTTCCTGGAAAGGGCTGGGAGGGGCTGCCCAGGGAGGTTTGGAGTCCCCACCCCTGGGGGTGTCCAGGGAATGGCTGGATGTGGCACTCAGTGCTCTGGTGACAAGGTTGACAGGAAGAGCTGAGCCCACCTCCCAGCCCACTCCCCATCACTGGCTGGAGTGTGTCCCTGACTGAGGGCTGTGCTGTGGAGAGAGCCTCCTGCTCCACATCTCCTGCTGGCCTGCTCTGATCCTGCTTTTCCTCTGCTCTGTGATGAGAAGCCAGTGTCGGCAATCACTCAGGTGCCGGATGGGTGCCTGTCCCTGTGTGAAAAATAACCCAGCAGTGAAGCACAGACTGCTCCCTGCCAGCCCCGTGGGGAGCAGGGTCCCCTCCTCAGGGATTGCTGCCATCCTGCTCCCATGCCATTGCCTCCTGCTGCTGCTGAGCCTGGCATCCTTCTCTCCTGGCTGTGCTCATCCAAAGGGAACAGCAGCAGGAGCTTTCCAACTCTGCCTCCTGCTGCCCATGGAAACAGCCCCGGATATTTTAGGATGGGTCTCTCCACATGGTGCTGAGATCCAAGCCAGCAATCACTTGATGTTTCCTGGCACTGGAGGTGTTGGGAGAGTTGTCAACAACTCTTTATCCTGGTGGGAATTGCAGCAGCTCCTGCCCTGCAAATAGTTTCTGTTCCTACCCCTACCCTGAAGTTTGAATGCTAGGGCTTGAAGCTTGGACCTTTTCTGAGTGTTCCTGTAAGGATTGAGTTGGGTTTGCCTGGCTGCTGGATTCCTGTCTGTCCCAAAGGGATGTTCTGTTTGCATTCCAGGAAAAAAAAAAAAACCACCAAAAATGATTCAGCCACTTTTTAATGTGTTTTTCTGAGCAGCTCGGGAGGGTGGGAAGCTGCTGTTTGGCGGTGGGATGGTGTCAGGGACCAACACCTTTTGGTGTTCCCATAAAAACTGGGGCTGGATTCACTGCCCAGGAAGCTGATCACAGGGAATGGAGTTTGTCCATGTGCAGGACCTGGTCTCTGGGCTCTGTCCTGCTCCTGGCACCACTCTGCATGCACATAGGAGGAGGCTTTTCTGGGAAAGAGCAAGGGGCAGGTCACTTGTCCTTGTTGCAGGTACAAATTCTGGGGCCAGGCTTTCCCTGGTACTCTGCCAAGCTCTTCCCGATGTTCCTCTGTGCCTTAAGCACAACTCAGAGCCCTGGGCTGTTTGCATATGACTTGGAAATGGAGGGAGTTTCCTCCAAACACAGGGTGCATGCACAAGAGCTCTTTTCTGGAATGCTTTATATCCAACTACAGTGTATTTTGGGATGCCTGAGGAATGGGCTGAGAGTCAGCAGGGTAGAGAAGCAGCACAGTGTATACAAGATGTTTACTTATGTGTGGCTTTGCCAGCACCTAAAATACAAATAAATCATTAATTTTAAGAAAGGGAGGCTCGCACATCTGGGAAGCAGCACTGCTGTTGATCCTTGCTCAAAGATTCCCAGGAGATAAGAGTGCTTGGGGGGGAGCAGGGTGGCTGGGTGGGTTTTCCCAGCCCTTCCCAGCTCCCTGGGTGTGCTGCCCTGATGCTGGCCCTGTTTGCCAGCAGAGGTGGTGCAGAAGGTGAACGGGCTGATCGCGGCCGGGCGCTACGGGCGCCTCTTCGCCGTCGTGCACTTCGCCAGCAAGCAGTGGAAAATCACCAGTGAGGACCTCATCATGATGGACAACGTCCTGGAGGCCGAGTGTGGAGACAGGATCCGCATGGAAAAGGTGAAAAAAAACCCAGAGCAGGTTCCCTGCAAACGTTCCCGGAGGCAAAACCCGTCGCTGGTTTTGTCGTCCCAAAGTGCTCCTGAGGGTCTCCCACCTTCATTCCAGCCCTTTGTTTTGTTCCAGTTCCCTTGGTTTTGTTCCAATTTCAGATATTATTGTGATTTCTGTTCAACAGGGCTGGAGTGAGTCTTGCCAGACTCTGTGGGGAGACAGATTTTTGTTGTCCTAACTCCTTCCAAAAAAAGAAAATGACAGTTGTTGTTTCCAGAGCCGGCAGCAAAAGCCTGTGTTTGCCTTGAGAGTCCAGCACCCGGATCACAGAGTCATTTAGGCTGGAAAAGACCTCTAAGATCATCGAGTCCAACCTCTTAAATCCTTGCAGGTCTCCCAGAGGGACTGTAAGCTCCTCAGGGCTCTGCAAGATCCTTATCATGCTGGGCTGGGTGGAGGCAGAGGGATGGGGCACGGAGGGGAGAATTGCCAAGATCCAATTAATATCTTTATCCTCAGCCTTGGACAGCCAGCAGGGACTTGCAGAGAGGCTCATTAATCCAGGCTGAAG